GTAAAACATTTTTTCTTGCTTAAAATTACCATAAAAAAAAAATTTTTAACAAAACGGACGTGATCAGGAGAGAGTTTATATAAATATAAAACATAATTAAGATTTTGATAAAATAAATTGTAATAATAAACTATAAGCAATGATTTTAAAATATTTTTTGAAATAATTATATTAGAACAAATATGTAATTTTATTTATTTTTAAGATTATATTTAGAAATAGTTTTATTTAAAATAGATATTCAAGTATTATATTTAAAAATTTGTATATAAAAATAATCAAACTATTATATATTTTGTATTGAGATTAAATAAACTTTACAAATACTTGTTTAATTATAAAAAAAAATATTATTATTAATTTAATTTAATAATATTAATAAAATAAACTAATTTTATTAATTTTAAAACATAATTTAGACTTATTTTATTTTATTATTTTTTTTAAGGGTTAAAAATATAATATACATATGGGTTTTATTGTCAAATTAATAGAAATTACAAATATTTGCACATATAAACAGTCTATTAACTAATGCTAATGTTAACTAACCAATCTTAATTTTAACTTGTTAATTACAGTTACTGGCATAAGTATCCCCCTGCTAATTTTTTGTTGATTACATGCAAGTCCTTGAAATTCTTAAAACACAAAATACATTACAGGTACTGATCAATCTTTGCCTTTTAGAGTTAATTAGGTAGTCCCGCTAGATGATCAATGAACTTCAGCCACAAAAAATGAGCCTTCCGTTACATAGATGGTATAAAATTATCTTTCTATGTATTTATATAAAAGACCCAAAGCTGTCATTAAGTGAGATGACAAAGAAGATCTGCTGTGATGAAAAAACAGTCCGTTATTGAATAAAAAGGTGGGGAAGAGTAAAGATTTAAATGACAAACCGAAGTCGGGACAACAAGGGATCATCACTCTGAAAAAAGATACCATGATTATTGATCTCGCAGAAAAAAAAAATAAGGTAACAGCTACTGAAATTCAGCAGGAAATAAGGAAACAGCATACTGAAGTTAGTGAAAAAACCATTAGGTGATGTCTTCACGAAGCAGAAGGTAAATATTTTGCGAAACTATCAAAATCCCTACTCGCTGATAGGCATCGAGAAAACTGACTAAAATGGGCAAAAACATATAAGAATTATAACTGGAATAAGATCATTTTTTCAGATAAGAGTACCTTTTGTTTATACCAATGATCAAGAATGGCATGACAATTCCCTAGAAAAAGAAAAATATTTTGTTCAGTAAAGTATCTGTTAAAGATTTACATTTGGGGATACTTTTTAGTTTCTGGGTTTGGTAAGCTTGCTTATTTTCAACAGAACTTAAATGTAGAATTAATGGTTAAGGTGTATAAAATAGGTCTTATATCTTCTGTGAATAAACTTTTTGGCAACAGTTCTATAAAGTGGGTGCTTCAAGAGGACAATGATCCTAAACACCATTCGAAAATCGTTAAATATTGGAAGGAAGAAAATAATGTCAAAGTTCTTCCTTAGCTAATGATGTCATCTGACCAAAATCCAATAGAAAATATTTGAGCAGTTATGAAAATAAATGTTGCAAAAAAAATAATAAGATCCTTAAAGGGATTAATAAGGAAACTAGGAAACAAATGGAACCGTCTTTCAAATAATATATCAGCAAAATTAGTTAATAGCATGAAAAATCATACTACTTGTTTAATAGAAGTTAAGAGTAACTATACTGTATACTAGTATCAGTATAGACCGAGTACATCTAAATAAAAAAAAAATTTTTAATTTATCTTACTTTTGTGCAAAATTAGGGGTAGGGAGATACTTATGTTGGTGATTGTATTACTTGGTTTCTTATTACTTTTACATCTTTGGCTCATGCAACTATGGTACCCATAAGCTTACTTCTTTATACTTTCTAGTAAATACTCCAAGAGTTGTTTTATGGTTGGCAATTTGGGGTTAGATAATCATTTAGACTTATTTTATTATAATATTTTATTATATATTATATAATTATTGTTATAATATTTAAATTTAAAATTTAAAATATAATAAAAAATAAATTTAATTAATTCTAAAGCATAGTTGGACTTATATATTTTTGAATTTTATTATAATTATAATTTAATATAATTTAATATAATGAAATAAACTACTTTTATTAATCCTAAGGCATAAGTCTTGTTAATTCCCCTTATCAAACTCTTGTTCATATTTGTTATGATTTTTGAAATATCATATGCTAAAATAATATATAATATTTTTTTATCCTCTTCACATATTTCCAAATACACAGAAATTATAAACCTCACGTGAAACATGTAATCTAGTATGAGGTGTTAGCTTGGGTATTAAATTGCAATAACCTCGATTATGTGATTAAAATTTTTTAATATGTATAAGTTATCTTGTACGCGAATCACGTATACTCGATTATAAAAACATGTATCGATAATGATTTTTAAATCAAGAATCAAGCCACAAGTTAAAGTATAAAAAATAAAAAATCGTTTTTTTAAAAAAATTATTTCATTTTGCTTCACACAATGCCATTAAGAAAATAAGCATGGCGATACCTTACGTATTATTTTCACCATCTGTTTGGAAGGTCAATCTCTTGGCTTGTGCCACTTACGTAAAAGCCACACACAATTGATTGATCAACAGCAGCTTCGCCGCGCCGTGAAAACACGTGATTATTTACGGATGATCGATCGAGAAGAGATTTAATTCTCCTTTTGAACCTATTGAACCTATTGAAATGCAAATCTCCTTGATCTATGCAGTAATCAGGAATCTCAAGCTTGTTTTTTGGGGCAAATAAATATGTTTTGTTGTTTAAATACAATTAAATACAATTAGAACAGAGAGTACAAATGTTCTTTCCTTCCACATATGGAACATCTTTTCGTGTTCTCAATGCCGTGAAATTAGTTACGGCATCAAAGTATAATGATTTAATGGTTTTCCATCTATTCTGAAGAGCACATAATAAAATACAAACGAATCACAGTAGCTTATGGCATTGCATTTAAGTAAAGTCTCAGAACACAAGACGGCTGAAACAATCAATAATACCGACACTGTAAAATCATCACGCAATTTTTTAATTGAAAACTTTATTAATAATTTCACGATATGCATACAAAATCTTCTTTAAAATCCTTCTTATATTTGAAGCAACGGGGTGTATTTCATTTTAAGGGGTCAGCGATCGGAACTTTATTACAATGATTGGATAGTTCACTCAAAGGTTAGTCGGGGTCACATTCAAACTTGTGAAAATAAACAAACAAAGAATCGAAGAACAAAGAAATCGTAAGATACACCGTAAGTCGAAGATGTCTATAGTCTTTTATATAATAGCTGTAGATGTGTGGCACAATATATTTAATATATATGAATGCGCGTTGGCTTGAGATTTAGTCATTTATGAAATATTAAATTGTGGTTCAAGAATCAGATATGATTGATTGGAGTGACGTCATCCGTATCAACCATGTGACATTCTTACACACACAAAGCAAAAACGTAAAAAAAAACTTATAGGAAAAACAAGAGGAGAGCTTTATCTTGTTACTTTTAATTGCACACATATTAATCAAATTAACTTTGTATGTTCACGAATCGGGGAGAATACAGACTATTCGATTATTTGACTAGATTTTTTACAATTATCGTATCTATCATGCAAGACAATGATTCTGTGGGAATTTTTGTTTCGCGTGTAATTATTGTGTGCCGCATTAAGTATTCAAAAGGAAGACGAAAGGAGATGTTTATGAAGGTTTATAGGATCATTAATGAAATTGAATAAATTACAACTTGTTTGTTTGCTTTCGTAATAGATCGTTTTGGATACTCACTTACTAACAAAACAAAAAGGAATCAAAATAAAAGTGAATTTGGATAACAAGTCAATTGTACTTTCAAAATGACATCTAATGGACAAAATGTGGAAGGAAAAATTTATTTGGTAAACAAATTAAAGTTTTTTGGTCATCCAGAAAAAGTAGAATGTGGCAACTATAAGCTTGCTTTTGTGCGAGCATGGCTGATGTCGTCATCGTACAATCATCTAAAAAACTATCAGGAAAACAAAATCAACAATTTTGTTAAAGTTCAGCCTAAACGAACAATGATGGCTTCTTGTCAAAGTAAGAAATATGTGGAATCGTGTCTTGGTAAATGATCTTCGTGTCTTGGTCATATGCACGCGTGTAGCCACAATACGCCACATTATGTTGCATGCATGGCTAAGAAATTCCTCTAGGCATTTTTTTTATGATACACAGACTTCCAAATGCGAATCTTTAAAATTCTTATAAAGGCAGATTCGCCAAACTCGATTTTCAGTAAAAAAAGATTTCAACAATATCATTTTTTTTTTTTTTTACTCAATGGCTCTCGAATACTGTAATGCAATAGTTCCGACTAGTGACGACGGGCAATTCTTTCATATGACTAGTGAGACTCCAATAATCAAGCTTCCTTGGCCACCGAGTATTACTGCTTCGGATTTTTTGAGCAG